TATTTCATTTAAAAGATGTATGAAGGGCAAGAGGTACGAGGCAAACACCCACGAGATAATGGAGAACCAACGTTCGAACCTAAAACAATTGCTGAAGAAGCACGAGCAGAATGAATCAAAACTGGAAAGAGGGAAGATTCACGGACCTACAATTAATGAAGAAGGGGAAACAGAATCGTTACAAAATCTTCATAGACATTTATGATTACCAATCATAACGGGCAATTAATGTCGTTAAAGCTCATAATGATTCCGCCATAAATAGGAGGAAACGTTATATTTGTAAACTCCTATATAAGGGAGGAGAATATCATTTGTAAAGACACGTTCGGAGTACTATCAAAATATATTCACTTTCTCTTGCTTATTCACTACAATCAATTATTCTTTCTTTTTAGTTACTTTTTGTCAACTTTATTTTCTTTTAAGTGAATTACTGAGGAAGTAGGGAATTATTTGGTTATCAGTAACACGAGTTCTTCTAAAAATAGGCTTTGACTAAAGATCTTATTTTTTGGTTAAACAAATTGGTTCCATTACCGGAAATCTGATAATCTTTTTACTTTCCAAATCCTTCTTTCTCACAATCAAATCATATCAACTATCAACGAAGATAACCAACAGGAGGGAGGATCTCCTCCAATTCCTTCACCATAGGAATCTCCATATCATTCTCAAGAAGGAACACCTGAAAGATCCACATCTCACACAAATGAACAACATGGAGAAGAGCAGACTGTCGAGCAAGATGCTTTAAACCAATTGATCGCTGAACATGTGAACAATGCTCTCTAAGCTTTTGTTAGGGGATTGCCAACTGCACCACCAACTCCTCCCCCAAATAATACGGCAACTATAGAAAATCCATGCTCGGGGCTTGCCAATTCAGGAAGCGGGGGAACTCCCTATGAATCACATGATGGGAGGTCAGGTACACCAAATAACTCTGATTTACAAAATTTGGTACTAACTTTGCAAAAACAGATGAAAGAGCAAAATGACCGCATAGAACAAATATCTGGCGTACCACCTATGATTAAGGGAGTGGATGTCGATAAATATTCATAACAACCTTGGAAGCCGAGCGCGGCCCCACTGCTCATTCATAAGAAGTTCAAAATGCCTGACATCCCAAAATATGATGGAATAACCGACCCACGAGATCACGTAGCTTCATTCACAATAGGCGTAAAAGGAAATGATTTGGCCAAACAAGAAATTGAGTCAGTTTTGGTCAAAACAATTGGAGAAACACTCACGAAAGGGCATTAACATGGTATTCTCTTTTACCTGAAAATTCTATTAATTCTTTTGCTAAGCTTGCATATTTATTCATAAAATCACATTCGGGAGCTAAAAAAGTTGAAAAAAGGATGGAATATATCTTTAAGGTAAAACCAGGAGATACTGAGTTACTTAGGGAATTTGTGAATAGATTTCAACATGAAGGAATGATGCTTCCACGAGTACCTGATAATTGGGCAGCCATGGCGTTCGCAAGTAATTTGAATGAAAAGAGCTTAGAAGCCACGAGAAGACTTAAGGAAAGCTTACGAGAATTCCCTGCTACAACATGGAATGATGTATATAACAGGTATAGCACCAAGCTGCGGATTGAAGAAGATATCGTCGCACAGTCAAGGGTTGATGAAAGAACAAATTCAAGGCGGTCAGAGTCTGAAAAAAGGTCCGATAAAAATAGGTACGAGCCTTATATGGGACCCGCGGGGCGGGACTCACGGTCCAAACCAGAAAATGTACGGTCTGGCCCTAGATCGAGGAACAGAGATGCGGGTTCATCATCCAGGTTCAGAAAAGAACGAGATGTACGTGATAGAGATACCAACACGAATGAAAGGATTGGTGATTACAGTTTCAATATTAGCACATCTGAGTTGGTAGCTGTTTTAAGGAGTATGGGAGATAAGGTGCGGTGGCCAAAGGAAATGAGATCAAACCCAGGCAGAAGAAATCCAGATTTCTGGTGCGAGTTTCATAATTACCATGGCCATAAAACAGCGGAATGCAGATTATTATATGGTGAAGTAGAGCATTTGCTAAAGCAAGGTTATTTAACCGACTTATTTAGCGAGAAAGGCAAGCAATCTTATATGAAAAATAGACAAAAACCTCCAAAACCTCTGTCTCCAAAAAGAACAGTTAACGTGATAAGCGGAGGGGAAGAAGTCAATGGTGTAACATACACAATTGCGAAAAAGACGTCAAAATTCACTATGACACACGAGAAGCGAGTTCGCCATGTTTTGGAAGAAAATAATATAACATTTGATGATGCAGATGCAGATGGCTTGATAATCCTTCACAATGATGCACTGGTAATATCTTTACTTATACATGATACTAATGTAAAATGAGTTTTGATTGATCCAGGTAGCTCCGTGAATATTATTTATCTAAGAGTGGTGAATGAAATGCAAATGGGCGACAAGATAGTACCAAAAGCACGATCCTTTTCTGGATTCGATAATTCAACCGTTATTACAAAAGGGGAGATAGTGCTTACCACATTTTTGCAGAAGGAGTTATCAAGGATACAAAATTCCAAGTAATAGACACGGACATGGCTTATTATATGATTCTTAGGAGGCCATGGATTCATGATATGGATGATGTACCATCTACGTTACATCAAGTCATTAAGTTTCCTTCAAAATGGGGAATTCGGCAAATTCGTGGAGATCAACAAGTTTCTAAAAATATCAATTCAGTGGTACATTCGCGCACGATGAATGAAGATACGAACAAGAATCCAGTCGAAGATGTGGTAAATCAGATCTTAACTGAAAGTGGCTCAAGGCAAACATATGTAGATTTCAGACCTGATGTCACTCAAGAACCAGAGGAGAATGAAAACATCAAAACAACAATTGAAGAAGTCGAAGTTGTTGTACTATTCAAGCAATGGCCAGACCGAAAGGTTTATATTGGAGCGAAGATGAGCCAAGAAATGAGAGGTAAGCTAGTTGAATTTTTAAAAGCTAACACAGATTGTTTTGCCTAGTCGCATTCAGATATGACAGGTATATCTCCGGAGGAGATGACCCACAAACTGAATGAAGATCCCGCGTACCTACCTGTCAAGCAAAAGAAGAGGAAGCAAGGCTCTTTCAAAAATCAAGTGATTTAGGATGAGGTACAAAAACTTTTAAAAATCAGTTCAATACGGGAGGTAAAATACCCGAACTGGTTAGCTAGTACTGTGGTAGTTCCAAAAAAGAATGGAAAATGGCGGGTTTGCATAGATTATAATGATTTAAATAAAGCTTGCACAAAAGATTCATTCCCTTTACCACATATAGATCAATTAATTGATTCTACCGCAGGTCATGAGCTGTTGAGTTTTTTTAGATACATATTCAGGTTATAATCAAATAAAGATGGATCCCCTAGATGAGGAATAAACGTCATTTATTACAGACATGGGGACTTATTGTTACAAAGTTATGCCTTTTGGTTTGAAAAACGCTGGGGCCACGTATCAAAGATTGGTGACAAAAATGTTTCAAGAACACCTGGGAAAGACTATGAAAGTCTATATCGATGATATTCTTGTCAAATCTGCAGAAGCAAGAGATCACTTTCAATACCTTTCTAGCACCTTCGGAATTCTTCGCAAATATAATATGAAATTAAATCCAAATAAATGTGCCTTCGGTGTGGCTTCAGGTAAGTTTTTAGGTTTTGTTGTATCTAACAGAGGTATTGAAGTGAACCTTATGCAGATCAAAGCCATTGAAGAAATTCCAGATATACTCACAAGCAAAAAAGAGGTACAAAGGCTGACAGGGAGAATAACAGCTTTGGGAAGATTTATTTCCAAATCTTTGGAGAAAAGTTTTAAATTCTTTTCAGTATTGAAAAAGCAAAATCAGTTTGAGTAGACTGATGAATGTCAACAAGCCCTTAAACATTTAAAAGCATATTTGTCAAATCCACCCCTGCTAGCTAAACCAAAGGATGGAGAGAGGCTACTCGTCTATCTCGCAATATCAGAAATGGCGGTAAGTGCGATTTTAGTACGAGAAGATAAAGGTAAACAATCTTCAATTTAATATGTTAGTAAATCTTTGTTAAATGCTGAGACTCGATATCCTCACTTAGAAAAATTTGCTTTAGCATTAGTTATGGCATCTAGAAAGTTGAGACCTTATTTTTAATATCATCCTATCTCTGTAACATCTGCTTACCCTCTAAGGAATATACTACATAAACAAGAATAGTCAGGAGGATTAGCTAAATGGGTTATAGAACTCAGTGAATATGATATTATGTACCAACCTAGAACTGCAATAAAATCACAAATTTCAGCAGATTTTGTAACGGATTTTGGCACAAAAATAGTTCCTGAAATAGAAAAGGAACTACAGGTATTCACCGGATCTAATCCAGGTACATGGACTCTATTTACTGATGGCTCCTCGAATGTTAAAGGAGCAGGTTTAGGTATTGTTTTAATCCCACCTTTGGGAGAAAGTATAAGAAAAGCAATAAAATGCTATCCCATTACTAATAATGAAGCAGGGTACGAGGCTGTAATTGCAGGTTTGGAACTGGCACGAGAATTGGCTATACAGTAAATCATAATTAAAAGTGATTCCCAGTTGGTAGTTAACCAGATGCAAGGGACTTATATAGCTAGAGAGGAATGAATGCAACAATATTTGGAAAAGGCACGGGAATTGATAAGACAATTTGTGCAAATACACATGGAAGAGAATACGGAAGTAGATGCACTAGCGAATCTCGCGTCAGTTGCGGAAATAACAAATGCAGAAAATGCTATCGTAATACATTTATTTCATTCAGCACTCGATCAAGATAAAAATGAGGTAAATTTCGAAAATTTAACTTGGGACTGGAGAAATGAATTTATTAATTTTCTGCAGTATGGAACCTTACCTGAAGACAAGAAAGAGTCTCAGTTGCTTCGATAAAAAGCTGCCCGTTACTGCTTAACTCGAGGAAATTTATATCGAAAAATGTTCGGAGGATCTTTAGCAAGATGCCTCGGACCAACTCAGATAGAATATGTGATAAGAGAAGTACACGAGGTACATTGTAGAAATCACACAGGAGGAAGATCCTTGCTAAAGACTTTAATTAGAGCAGGATACTACTGGCCAAAAATGGAAGAAGATGCAGAAAGTTTTGTGGCAAAGTGTGATAAATGCCAACGATATGGCAATAACATGCATCGCCCAGCAGAGCTATTACATACGGTTATTTCCCCATGGATATTCATGAAGTGGGGGATGGATATCGTGGGACCATTGCTACAAGATAAAGGAAAGGTACGGCTTTTGTTAGTATTAACAGATTATTTTTCCAAATGGGTAGAGGTATGAGCCTTCAAACATGTACGAGAGAAGAATGTCATGGACTTTATTTGGCGAAACATTATATGCCGATTTGGAGTGCCGAGAGAAATCGTATGTGATAACGGCCCACAGTTCATAGGCACGAAAGTCACAGAATTTTTTCAGAGTTGGCAGATTAAACAAATAACTTCCTCACCTTATCACCCTGTGGCCAATGGACAAGCTGAATCAATAAATAAGGTTATTATTAATAATTTGAAGAAGAGATTAGAGAAATCAAAAGGCAAGTGGCCTGAGGTGCTACCAGCAGTATTATGGGCTTATCGAACGATAGCAAAGACAGGCATGGGAGAGACTCTATTTTCACTTGTTTATGGTGCTGAAGCCTTAATTCCTGTTGAAATAGGTGAGCCAAGTATGAGATTTACACAAGCAACTGATGAATCAAATGATGAAGAGATGAGAACGAATTTAGATTTACTCAAGGAAAAGAGAGAAGCGACTCTAATAAGAATGGCAGCTCAGAAGCAAATTATTAAGCGATATTACAACATGAAAGCTCATCTCAGATACTTCAAGATTGGGGACTTCGTTCTCAATAAGGTTTTTCAAAACAACAAAAGCAATTGGTGCATAGAAGTTGAGTCCAAATTGGGAAGGTCCTTACAAGATTCGAAGCATCGCTGGAAAAGGGGCTTATGAGTTGGAAACCATGGAAGGCAAGATACTACCGTCGAATTGGAATGATGTTTATTTAAAGAAGTATTACTTCTAGGCAAAGAAAGTACCCACGGTCAGGTATCGCTCAACTCTGATTTTATTTGGTTCTTTTAAATTATACTAATAATTTTAGATGATAGGCAAAAAGCTAGCCCATACCAAATGATGACATTAGACCCGAAAGACACGCGGAATATAGAATTATTTCCGATCTAGGTTACAACCTTTCTGATGAAAATAAAAAGGGTTAAGCAGTCATCATCTAAATGTATACCTTCGAGTCTCGTATGTATTTTCCTTTTCAGGAAATGGACCAAATGGAAGAAACAATCAAGTGCTCGAGATTTCATACTTCAAAGCTCTAACACTTGGGGGACTGTATATATAAAGGCAAAGAAGACTAAATGTCAGAATTTAAGCCTGGATCAGCCCAAAAGTCAAAAGTCAAGAGCTAATCAAGAGCCAAAAAACAAGCTTGAGTCAAAAACCTTTGAAGTAGACTTGATTAGGTATAAACTCGCGGGAAAGATACAAGATGGACACAAGATACATTTCAAGTTCCTACGAGTTTATAGGTTTAGGACAATAATTAGTCACGGGTTACTAAATAGACCCAAAATTTTGAAATCTGTTATAAAAAAAACAGTTATGAAAGAAGTGTAGATGTTGTACAAAAAGTTATTTGTATACATGAAAAGTATTATATAAAATTTGAAAGTTCAAAGCATGAAACTTCCTCAAATTATTCATGAAACTTCCTCAAAGTATTCCTTTTTCTACTAATTTCATATATTTACACCAATATGAAGTTGAGACATCTTCTTCATTAGTGTCGTTTATAAAAGGGCCCTCTTTTATAAAAATTCATGTCTATCAAAATCACAAAATATTAAGGCATTTTAAATGCAAGTTTAAAAACCAAAGAGTAAAACAAAAACTCAACATCAAAATAAGCAAAGATTTATATATTAAACTTAGCCAAAACTAAGGTACTTGTTTGTTATCAAACCCCTAAACAAGATAGGGGTAAAAACTAACATCCATTCCAAAAAAAAAAAAATTCCCATCAAAAAGTTTCAAATAAAACTAAGGGGCAGTATCCAAGGTGGCATCATCAGCAACGGGAGAAGATTCAACTTGGGGAATAGGGGCTTGAGCACTAACTTCACCAGGAATAGGATTATCACCTTCGGGAACATCAACCCCAGGTGAGGAAAAGTTTTGACTTTGCTGAGTTTTTCAATCGTTTCTTTAGCTTTGGCGATCTCAGCATTCAGGTCGAAGCCTTCCTGGCTAGCCTCTATCAAAGTTTCGAGGTGGGTATTCAAAAAAGCCTAACTCTCATCGAGTGTCAACTTATCGTCAAGTACTTCATAATCTTTCTTCCACTGATCAGTCTCAGCCTTCAACTCTTCTTTCTCAACTTTGGAAGCATCGAAGGAAGTCTTCAAAGGGGTAAGAGAACTCTCCAAGAACATGATCTTATCAGAAGAGGCACAGAGATCTTCTTGAGTTTGTGTAAGTAATTGAACTAACTCTCCGACATAAGTCTCTTTCTGGTTAAGAAGTTCCTTCAGACCCATTATCTCTTAAGTGGCTTTCGAAAGCTGCTCAGCGAATGAAGACTCAAGGATATCCTTGTCTTTTCCAACTTGACTTTAGGATGCCTTTTCAATTGCTAACTCAGCCGCAACAATCTTCGCTTGTTGCTCCAAGGCATTCTTCTCTTAAGCCAAAACCTCCTTCTCTAGTTGAAGACCCTCAAATTGCTCTTTTCAGTTGTCAGCTTCGGTACGGTAATTAATGAATTATTGCTCGGTATGAACAATCATTTTTATAAGCTTCGTGCCTATCAAATTGATCTACAAAAGAAAGGAACGGAGTTGTGGTTAAATAAAAGAAAACAACAACAATGAAATGAAAAGAAGTAAAGTTAAAACTCGAACCTTCAGAAATGAATGAACAATATCATTCATCCAAGTCAATAAGCCGTGACTCTCCAATTTTTCCTTCTCTACTGGACCAAGCAAAGTTTTCAACCATACATCAGCTTGACCGGATATTTTCAGCAAGTTCCCACCCTCAGGAACCTCAATGATAATCTTCTTCATTGTTTTATTGTTACTAGAAGGCCCAACTTCTACATGAGAAGTAGTAGCAACTGGAATAGTAGAGAAGGTGGAAGCAGTCACGGGGGGAGCAGTAGCAGCAACTTCAGGTAGGGGAGCTTGAGAACGAACGGGGACTAACACTAGAAGAGAGTCTAGAGGCAACTCTTCAGAAACGGGACCAAAGGCTTCATTATCAAAATCACGGGTAAACAATTGATCAGTAGAATCACAGGGAGGAATATTCATCTCTTCTTCGGAATCACTAATGTAGCACTTTCGTGCTCATCAAAAAGTCTCGAAGGGATTGAACTTGGAGGAGGGCTAGTTTCATCATCGGAAATAACGCGCTTCCTAACCCGAGGTTTGCGCACTGAAGAACCCTCTTCCTGTTCTTCTTCACCCTTAGAGCCACGAAAACCATCAACTTTTCCTTTCGATGAAGAGCTTAAAATTCTCTTTTAAGCAAGAGATACAGAAAGTCTTGTAGAAGAAATAGACGGGGGACTGACACCACGAATAGGAAATCCTAACAAAAGAGAGAAGTTTGGTAAGAAGCTCCTAAGCCAACACAAGAGAAGAAGAGAAATTGAACAGAAAAGGTACCGTGTGTTTTGACTTTCCAACCAAACCTTTGAGAAAGGTACTTCCAAGACCTTCTCTCCATAGGGGCAACTGACAATAACTTTTCTACCCAAGCACGGAAGTTAGGAATCTCCTCGAAAACTTCCATGGTTGCTGAAAAAGTAGACACGAGATTAAAAGTTTCTTGTTTCAAGAAAGAAAAGAAAAGGTAAAGGAAAAACACTTACGTGCAAAATTCCACTTTTCTGGAAAGGGAATATTCTCTTCACCCACCAAAGCACTTGTGGGAGCAGCTACAAAACGAGCATACCAGCCACGGTCTCTATTATCCTCGGGGCTAACCAATACCCTCTTGCTTCTGGCCATAAGTGAAAACACCCCTTCATGAAATAATTTGAGGGAATAAAGATGAAGCAAATGATGAAAGGTGAAAGATAGGGAAGCCAAGTTAGATAGGTAATAAAGGCATAGAACAACCCTCCAAATAATGGGGCCAATTTGTCCCAAGCATACATTAAAGAAGCGGCAGAATTCAAAGATTACTGGGTCAATGGATGGTCTAAATCCTAAAGTGAAAGGATATGTATAAATAAAAGAATAACCAGCCTGATATGATGTTATTCTTTGGTTTGGATCAAGAACTAAAACTGGAAAGTCAGGTTTTCAGTTACATTCTCTTCGAACAAGAGAAATTAAACCAGTGGTAATTTGAGTAGGATAAAGATCGACACAATCATGAGAAGCTAAAGAAGAAACTTGATTTCTTATGGTTTCTCGATCAGATGAGAAAGAAAATTCCTGTGGAACAATTTTATCAACCGTTGGTTCACGTATAGATTCACTCAATTCCCTATTTCTAGAAGAAGATCTAGGGGTTAAAGAAGCTCTAGGTTTAGAAGAAGAAGTGGGAGTAGTGGTTTGAGATGAAGAACCACGAGTGGACAGCGAACCTAAACTACGAAGTCTGCCTCCTCTTCTACTTCTCACAGGAGCAGATGAAAGAGCATGTTCATCAACAATTACGACTTTGTGAGGGTCAGGAGTTGATGAAGACACAGTTGTATAAGGAATTAACATAGGAATATGCGTCGAAAAAAGAAGGAAGAATGAAGAAGAAGAAGAAGAACACTGTAGAATAAAGGTTTCATAAAACCTAAGAAGTATGAAAAGTTCTAAAACACGCTAAAAAGCCACAAAACCAATCATAAAAAGCCACGTGGCATATGCATTAAATGGAAGTGACATACGACGCGTTAATTCTGAAGAAAGCACAATGATTCTTGGGAAACGGCGGCAAATAATTCTCGCCATAAATACATACCACTTACCGAATATTCAATTGTAGAATATTCAGAAAGTGGGGGAGGACTATCTGTATTGGTAGTAAATAAATAATACATGTGAAATTATATTTAGCTGACAGAGCATGACACGTGGAGCAATGAGAAAATGACAACTGGCATATTTCATTTAAAAGATGTATGAAGCGCAAGAGGTACGAGGCAAACACCCACGAGATAATGAAGAACCAACATTCGAACCTAAAATAATTGCTGAAGAGGCACGAGCGGAATGAATCAAGACTGGAAAGAGGAAAGATTCACAGACCTATAATTAATGAAGAAGGGGAATCAGAATCGTTACAAAATCTTCATAGACAGTTACGATTACCAATCATAACGGACAATTAATGCTGTTAAAGCTCATAATGATTCTGCCATAAATAGGAGGAAACGTTATATTTGTAAACTCCTATATAAGGGAGGAGAATCTCATTTGTAAAGACACATTCGGAGTACTATCGAAATATATTCACTTTCTCTTGCTTATTCAGTACAATCAATTATTCTTTCTTTTTAGTTACTTTTTGTCAACTTTATTTCCTTTTAAGTGAATTACTGAGGAAGTAGGGAATTATTTGGTTATCAGTAACCCGAGTTCTTCTAAAAATAAGCTTTGACTAACAACTTGTTTGGATCGTTGTTACCCATTATATCGTATTGTATTTTTTTTCCAAAACAATATTTGTTTTGATTGCTTAGTTAAAATTGGTTGTATTGAATTGTTAAATTCATTGTTCCGGAATAATGAAAATTCTCATTTTTTGAAACAACCGATTTGATGTGGTGGGATCGTTTTCTATTTTTCTAATTATGCCCTAACTTATTACTTTATAATTCTATTTTATACTTTACCTTTTTTATTTTAAATAATAGCAAAGTCTCTTTCTCATATAATTTTATAATAGAATTCTACGTGAAGTCTAATAGCCTATATAAATTCTCAAAG